CAGGAATATTAGCATAGAAAAAAAGTAAATTCAGAGATAGAGTTCTTTGTATAAACCCAACAGAAATAAAGGTGGTCAGCATTTAATCTTAACCAACAGTTAATCTCAAAGCATGAGGATAATATACTGCAAAGGCTGCTTGTGTATTCAGATGTATTTTTCAGAATCACATTCCAAATGACCCAGATCATGAGATATAATTAAAAACACAGGGCAAGAGATTAAGCATCTCCCTCTAGCAGGTGCACCTGGGGAAGGAGAACTCCTCGACCAAAGAAGAGATACTCCGAGCAGCATAGTTTAAAATAGTTTCCCTGTGAACAGTGAGTGCTCACTATGAAGCAAAAACCTGTGAGCTGAGCCAAGCCAGGCAAGAGAACAACTCAGCAGCAAGGTTTTGTATTCACACTCAACGCTCAGCTTCAGCACACCCAACTCTTCTGGGCATCAGCAGTGACAAGAAACACAGCTACCTCTCCTCCTTTTACCCAAGGGCGTCACTCACCACAGGCCTGTAAGATGGATAGATCTCTCCAAGAGCAAACATGATCAGCATGGTACTCAAAAAGATAAGGAAGTGATTGCGCATGGTGTGCCAGGGAACTGGAGTGGGGGACGTATCGACGCGGTTCCGGATATACATGTCGAAGTCCCAGTGCATCTGAAGAGCAAAGGAAAACACTGCACATTTACCAACAGTGCTCAAGCTGCTTTTATCAAGGGAAGAAATGCTTTGCAGCATTCACAAAACTGCGAAAAGCCATTTCATTTCCACCTTGCAAGGGAAGATAAAGCCAGAGTGAAGTCAAGTGCCACTTACAGTAAAACTTAGGACACCAAATTCCACCCTATGCTTATACCAGGCAATATGCTTAAGTACAGAACAGCAGCAGCTTTTATTTATATCCATAATCATGCCACCTTAGATTTGTTCCCCAGCTCTCTTGAAAAGACATGGTATAAATTGGTGCCTTTGTTTTCCAAGTTCAGTCACATACCCAAAGAATGTTATTTCAAAAAAGCAACTGCCTGCCACTTGGAAGCTGGTTCCTCAAAACCAGTACAGCACCTACCACTGTTGCTCCATGGTAAGAGCAGGGCTGGTAGCAACCTAATGCTTTCCCTGATTGAAGCAGAAGGGCATTTAAGTTTCTGCTTTGAAGTACACATAGAAAAGTCCCAAGAATGTTCTGCCTATAGAAAGCAGAGAACTCATTAATTTGCAGCTCAAGTACTGCCTCTAGCTTCCCAGGATGCAGAGCCACTTGCTAGCAAACACAGAGAGCAAGACTAAGCAGCATTCAGTTGTCTGAACAGAGCCATCTGCTGACCCCTGGAATGCACCAGTTTATTCCCTCTGGTGCTCCACCTCCAACCTCACGTGCAAGGGTACCTACTCAAGCCTTCCTGTGCCAAGCACCACAACACAGAAGCACCAAGGGTTTTTTCCTGTGTTTTGACAGTCGTTACAACATTCACTTCACTGTAGTACACATGCTATGTTGTTCTGACATGTTTGCACTGTGATGATATATTACATACATATGCTTACATAATCTCTGCTTTTAGTAAGGAGAGCTCAAATCAATTACCAAGTTCAGTAATCACAGCCATTTGCAGAAAAACCATGCACTAATGGAAAAGTTGCTCCCAACAAGGAGTTTGAGGAACTTGGATTTTGAAAGTTAACATAGATTCTCAATTCACCCACTTCTCTTAAGGACATCTTGCAAGCTTTCTTCAGAGGAAACCCCCTTAGCTGTATTCTACCCCAAAGTAACCCTAGTGTATTAAAGCAACAATAGCTACTTCCATTGAACTAAAAGGACTTTTCTCAAACAACGGCTTCTTTGCTAAATGGTTCTGAACTAAGCTCTCATACTGAGCCAGATCAGGCAAAGCGGGTGGATGAGGCCTTCCCATTCTGACAGAGAAACTCAAGTTTGTAAAGCTATACATACACAAAGAATTAAATACATACACTAGATGCAGATGTCAGCATTTAGTAACAGTACCATTTTAATCACAATGAAAAGTGCTACTAGGATTCCTACCGGCTGCCCCCAGTTATGCCGCAAATCCTGCTGGTCCCACTGGTACCAGGGGTCTCTCTCATGGAGAGACTTATCAGGGAGCTTGGGATAGTCACCATACCTGTCAGAAACAGACAAAAAAAACCAACAAACACAAAATAAGTCTGTATTAAAATAGATATATTTAGTAGGAGACACTGTAGTCTATGGAATTGAAAACTTAGAACATGGTTTTTATAGCTCATACATATGCACATTTTAAAGGCACACATGCAACTAACACAGCAACCACCAGCTTGACCCCAATCATTGTAAAAAACAGCATTCCTCAAAGTGACGTTTTTGGGCCATATACTAGCCAGAAGAAAATGCAGGCTTAACAGGAATACAGAACCCTAGCTGTCCAGTATTTTGCACGTCAAAGCCATCCTGCACACTTAAACGTTGTCTCCAGAAATCCTAATTCCAGAGACAGCTTTTAGCTAATTCATTAGCCACGCTCTACACCAGGGTATGAAGCAGCTCACACGGTGTTTTATCCACACGGGCCCCCAAGCAATTCGATTTACTCCTACTTTACAACACCGACGTGTGCCTTCGGCGCTCCGAGCCGGCAGCACAGCCCCCCGGGCACGCAGCAGGGACACCGGAGGTGCCTGGTGCCCGAAGCAGGAGCACGGGACCCCCCGCCTCACCCGAAGCCGTCGTCGGGGTAGGGCTCGTAGTCCCCCACCCGCCTGTTGTACT